CTGCCCCTCTGCCTACTTGTGATCTCTCTCTGTCAAATAAATAAATAAAATCTTTAAAAAAAAAAAATAAGTACCACCATTTGAGTCTTCAAATACCTCAGAGAAAAAAATCTCATTGGTCTTACTTGGGTAAGAAATCACCCTTAAACAAGCATTCCTCAACTTTGGCAATACTGGCATTTGGTCTGGATAATTCTTTTGCTACAGAGACCTGTCCTGTGCATTGTAGGATGTTTAACAGCATCTCAGACTCTACCCACTAAATGCCAGTAGTTCCTGCTCTGGACATTGCCCAATGTCCCCTGTACAGCAAAATCATCTCTGCCTGAGAATTACTGCCTTAGAATGATTAGCTAGGACCAGGAGCAGGTAACCAACAGGGCCATTGGGAAATTTGAAGTGAACTGTGCAGCCATCCTAGTTTGTATCTACTAACAAGATTTCTCTCTTGAACTTCAAATTCTTACTCACAGGGGTATCTGGCTGGCTCAGTTGGTAGAGCATATGACTCTTGATCTGGGGGTTATGAGTTCAAGCCCCATGTTGGGCATAGAGCTTACTTAAAAACAAAAACAAAGTCTTACTCTCAGATGCCTCCTGGACACCCCTATCTAGATATCATAAAACCAAAACCAAATGTGCTATTTCCTTTTGAGCCTGCTTCTTCTGTTGTTTTTGCTAGCTTGATGAAGAGTAAAACCATCTGCCATCTCTCCCCAAACCAGAGTGCATGTATCACCTCAGCTTCTTCATCTCTCCCACCTGACTTCCGTATCAACAAACTCTATCCCATGTGGCTGAACCCTTTCTCTGTTTACATGCTCGTTCCCACAGTCTTAGATCTGGCCCGCATCATTGCTGGACTTTGATAACCACCTGCTCACTGGGCTCTCTGTCATTGCTCCCCTTTGCTGCCTTCCAGTCAGCAGAATGATCTCCCAAACCTGGGTCTCATCCTGGCACTTCCCTGCTCAAAACACTGTGTGCTTCTCTGTCTTTAAGTGGTCAGTCCAACCTTCTAGATTGGTATATAATCTGTCTCCCTTCAGATTCTTTTTCTCCATTTTATTTTCTTTTCCTCTCTCTTCCCTGTTCTTTGTGTTTGGGCCACACCAAAAGAAAAAATTGATATTTAAAAAGATATGTTATGCTTTTCGCTCTCTCCCTGTCTCAAAAAGAAAAAAAAAAAAAGATATGCTATGCTTTTGCCATGCCTTTATAACTACTATTCTTCTTCCTTGGAACACACTTTGCTTCTCCTCCAAATAAATTTCTCCTCCTCAAATGTTTCTAGAACAGTCCCTGATGCTCTCAGAAAGTTACTTGTTCCCTTCTCTGCATTCTTGCATGCTTTGTGATCCATCTACTATAATACCTCATTTGCAGAGGTGGACTGAACCTGAGTCTGTTTTCCCCACAGATTCATAGCTTCTCCAGGCAGAGATGACATCTGCCCAACACGTAATAGAGTACTGGGCACCTAGCGCACACAGAAAACTTTGCTGCATGGATTCGTCCATTGAAAGTCTAGGCTGTTATTGAAAGGGCAGCCTAAAATTGGCAATCATACGGGCTCTGGAATCAGAAAGAGCCAAGTTCCCCTCTGGCTCTTCCACACACCTGCTGTGTGATGCTGGACAAGTCCCCTGCCTGTCTACGTCAGTTTCTCCATTTGTCACATGGGGTTAGACTCACCAAGTTCTGCACAGGGCAGTTATAAAGCTCATGAGATGAGGGTTCAATCGGGTCACCTCTGGTAAGCACTTACCCCAGTGCCTTTGCAAGCCCTGAATAAATATCAGGAGCTATTATTCTCACCATTGTCACCATTATTATCCATCCATACTCTGCCAAAAGGCATTAAGGCCCTCTGTTGAAAAGCCATTACTAACTATAATTGGGTGAGAGCCAGAAAAAACGACACAGATCTGAAGGGATGTGGCCTGGTGACATTATCCAATATAAGCTGTGCAGGCAGCGCTTTAATGAGGCCCACGGTCAGTGGCATGTCAGACGGCTCTGAGGCTCGGGACAACAGAGCACCCCACATACTGCATATCGTAGTGGGGCAGCCCTTGGGGATGGGAAATCTGGCTTTAATCCTCTACCCAGCCACCCCCGCGCAAACTACTTCTAAGCCTCAGTTTCCTCTTGTATAAAATGGGCTCAAAATTATCATATACACCTCTCAAGGCTATGGGGAATTATAAATGAGACATTTTATTGTCATATTACTTCGCAAGGCTTTAAAAACTCAACCCAAAGGTGGGGACTGTTGTTTTTCAGAGTCCATTGTAATTGCTCTGCTTTGGGTTTCCAGCAGAACGGGCTGGCCGGGGGGAGCTCAGTCACATGCAGGACCAAAGTACTCAAAGAGTCAGGCTAGAGTCTTGGTCTACTATTCAAATAATTGAGCACACACAAGGCCACAAGACCGAGGGGATCTAAATTAGTGCACACACTAAAAAGGCACCTTAGATTCTTCAAAGAGTGGCATTTCAGAGCCCAAGGAGGAAACACTTAGGACCCAAGGTCACAAGATATGTATTGGAAGAAACCTAATAGAACCCAATCATGGATTGTCTCTAACATGCCAACGGGCACTGGGGTTTTCGCAGAAAACAAATACCCTGTAATTGAGATTTTAAGTAAAAATACAAAGCCCCTACTAGGTGTCAGTAGCTTTATTAGGCATTACACATACTTTATTCTTCATCTTTTCCCAAACTCTAGACTGGCAGGTATTATAAATCCTGTTCTGTGGGGGACATTAAAGCCCAGAGAGGTTCCGTGATTTAGCCTGGGTCCCGTAGCTCATACACAGTGGAATAAAATTTGAACCAATGCCTTCCTCCGAAGTTTGAATTCTTTCCACTCCATGACATCCTGCCTCATGTTCAATATATACTACCTCCTTGAAACATTAATTGCCTTAGTCACTTTCTCCTGGGCTTGGCTAATTTAAATTTTGCAGCCAACACAACAGCTGTTCAAATGTAATTCAAAGAGCTTCAGGGCTTCTCTCAAGTTGAAGACCTCAGAAGGATTATGGAGGGGAAGAAATGTGGCTTGTCTCCTAAGAAAGAGGTAATTCAGACTAAGCGAGCCTGGGATCAGGCTAGTCTGCAGGCTACTTCCCCAGCCAGAGCCCTGGGAGGTCAATGTTGACAGGAAATCCCAAAAGAGAGACAGAAGTGCTCAGATGCACGCTAAGAGGGTTGTCAAGAAATTAATTCATTAAGGACCAGGCTTCAGTGCCATGAGAAGCACATGGCTCTTGATAAGGGCAGAAAACAAGCCCACGGCCAAAAGTCTGGGATCCTCCTTCCAAAAAGGAAGTAGCGTTCTCCATTTCACCACCTTGGTAGTGTCCATCCAGCTGGGGGCTCCCTTTCACAACCGGCATTCTCGGGGCAAGCTCCTTTCCATGGTAGCAATGGCTATTAACTAGCATCAGAAATGAGTAGTCAGTGCATGCGTGGCCGTGGGCACATGTGCATGCAGAAGCATGCATGTGCGCACACGTGTGCCCACATGTGGACTCGGGAGCTGAGGTGGAATCCAGAGAAATGGGCGAAGGCCAAGTGAAAATGTCCAATGCAAAAATACAGAAATGCCAAGTCTTTGAAAAATAAAATTTGAAGTTATTTTAAGGTACAGAAAAGTCCAGAAGGGAAAACAAATGACTTTTTTTTTTTAAACCTCATTGCTTTTGCAAAAACAAAGGACACCATTTTATGTTCATAAAAAAGAGCCAGGAATTCATGCTGTCTTTAAATTAGGATAATCATTTCAAGTCTTCCTCTGTTATTGCCAAGTTGGTGCCAAAGGAGACTGGTAATTTTGTCTGGGAGGGAAAAGCTACAGAGCACTGGAGGTTAAGCAAGCAATTAATCCAATATTGACAATGGGGTTTGTTGAGAGACTGACAGGTCATGTGTAATCTGGCTCCCAACTGCCTCGCACTTCCACCTAACTTGTATTAGCCATTTCCAGATTAGGAAGCAAAGTCAGAAAGGTACAAGAAATAAGCATTTGTCAAGGGGTCAGAGGATCTGGGTTTTAATGGATCTAGAATTTCTATATAGGAGGGGATTACAATAGAGCATGCAGAGAGTGTGGAAACTGGAAGGGGAAAGCTGAGAAAATTGTCTTAAAGCTCCATCTGCATAAAAAACACAATGCTGTCCTTGGATTGTATTCATCTGTACCATGGCTTAAAGGGGCTGATAGACACATGGGCATACTTGCTCCTGACCATGTGTGACATTGGACAAGTTAACTAACCTCTCCAAACCTCAGAGATCTATCAACATTTATTGAAGACCTACTGTGTGCCAGGCATTATCCTAGACAGTGAAGAACCAGTGGTGAACCAGACAAAGCTCCCACCCTCAGGCAGCTTACATACAAGTGGGGATGAGGGACAAAAAAATATATACTCTAATTCTACGTAGTGTTAAGCTGGATAAGGAATGATGGGGGAAGAAGGAAAAAGTTATTTTGGAAAGAGGTCATCAAAAAGGTTTTCTCTGGGGATGCCTGGCTGGCTCAGTTGGTTAAGTAGCTGACTCTTGATTTCAGCTCAGGTCATGATCTTAGGGTTGTGGGATCGAGCCCTGAGTCGGGATCTGCACTGAGGTTAGAGCCTGCTTAAGATTCTTTCCCTCTCTCTCCCTCTGCCCCTCCAGCCCCTTGCACTCACGCTCTCTCAATCTCTCTCTCTAAAACAAAAAAAGGAGAAAAAGGTTTTCTCTAAGGTGGAAACAGTTGAGCAAAGAATTGAGTGAGGCAGGGTTTCTCATCCTTAGCCTTGCTGATACTGAGGGCCAGATGACCACATGTCATAGGGCTGTCCTGTGTGTGTAGGATGTTTAGCAGCAACCCTGGCTTCTACCCATTAGATGCCCAGTAGCAACCTCCTCCATTGTGACAATCAAATATGGCTCTGGACGTCTGCCAAATGTCCTCTGTGGGACACAACTTCCCCCAGGTGAGAACTACCGGAGCAGAGTAAGGGATTGAGCAATGAACTCGTTCAGGGGCAGAGTCCTCCAGGCCAAAGGAAGAGCAAGTGTAAAGGCACTGAGGAGGTGCAGTAAGCAGGTGGGGTGGAAGAACAGGAAGAAGTCCAGATGGCTAGAAGGCTGAAGGTTGAAGGTGAAGTCGGAGCGATGATGAGGGGCTCTACAAGGTTTGGAATTTGAGGAGTAAGAGTAGCCATTGGTTTGATCAGGGTAAGGATCTGACCTGACTGAAATCTTGAAAAGAGGGGCACCGGGGTGGCTCAGTCATTAAGCGGCTGCCTTCGGCTCGGGTCATGATCCCAGAGTCCTGGGATCGAGTCCCATGTCAGGCTCCAAGGGAGCCTGCTTCTCCCTCTGCCTCTGCAGTTCCCCCTGCTTGTGCTCTGTCTCTGATAAATAAATAAATAAAATCTTAAAAAAAAAAAATCTTGAAAAGATCACTCTGGCTGCTGTGAGGAGGACTGATCCTAGAGGGTAGAATGGAAGCAATGGAACTACTCTTGGATGCTCAGGCAACTAGGGGAGATGCTGGCGCCGGAGACCGTGGTGATGGCGATGGCAATAGGGATGTGCGGAGGTTGCCAGATATGGGTTATATTTCGATGGAAGAACACCAGAATTCAAGGATGTATTGGATGGAAGAAATAAGGGGAACAGAAACCAAGTGCTTAGTGAGGGGTGCACTTAGTGGGGCTGCCACCATTACCCTGCACTGGGGAGGACTGGGCAGAACAGATCTGGGTGGAGGAATCAGTAGTCCAAGTTGGATATGTTGACCTTGACATGCTTCTTCAGCATTCGCGTCGGGGGTAGGGGAGGATGCACAATGCTTGACACATAGCAGGAGTTCTTGCTCTGCTTGCCCATGGGGCCAGAAGAGGGGGGAAGCAGACACACTGGGTAGTAGAGTTATTTACTTTACAAAGGCTTATGAACTGTTCCTTTAGATGATGCTCTTCCCTCATACATTTCAATGAAGAGCAATTTGGAAAGAAAATGTTACCCATGTCATTTACCCATCCCTTTTTGTTCCCAGCATTTTCATGATAAAATGGGATAGTCAAGAGAAGGAATTACTTGAGTATCTGGGATCCATCACCTGTGAGAAGCTGGGTTAATCCTCGTAACTGTCCCTCTATTTATTTGTGAGACAGTAAATCAGTAGCAGAGTTAATTGGAATCAATCTCTTGACGACATTTTTCTCTTATCGTTTCTTATATTCCAAAAAAAGCTGCACCCCAGAGAGAAGGATCACAGACTCTGAGATGTTGACTACAGAGAAGAGGGGTTTTCAAGGAGTTTAAGGATGATGCTTATATTCAGAACAAGCTGTGCTCCCCGTTGTTGAGAAATTGCTATTGGTCATTAATTAAATGCACTCCTGCTGCTTCCCTCTGTGGAGCAGGCTGCATGCAGGTGTCCCTGTGCAAAGCACCTCCACCCAAGTGCGTGGCTGCTCTTTGGAGCATATACCTCAGCAACTTCAGGGTTTTGCCTCTTATTTGAATTTATTTTTTTTTCTCTGCCCTTGCAGTCTTAGTCCATACGGCACATCTCTTCCCATTATTAGCACAAGGAACCTTAGTTTTAGATTCTCTGGAGCAGGGGTTGGCCTTCTTCTATAAAGGGCCACATGGTATATATTTTAGACTTTGCAGGCCCTACAGTCTCTGTCAAAGTGATACAACCCCACCACCGTGGCACAAAAGCAACCATAGATAACGTGCAAGCAAATGAGTGTGATACGTTCCCCCCATTTTATTTACAACAACTGGCCACGGCTGGGATTTGGACCCATAGGCTGTAGTCTGTCAAGTTTGGCTCTGCAGGATTCATCTTTTTCAGATGACACCAAGTCATCTGTAGAGTGACTTTCGTGTGTACATGCTAGCCCATATTAAGGCATTCATTTAGAATATAGCCTCCAAATCTGTTGAAAATTTATAGTAACACATAGTTGGAACTGTAATATCTTTTCCTTTCAAGTTTTATGTTAGAGACTCAAGCATTTGTAATTCCAGTAGAAGAAATATTTGGTAGCATACCAGCTCTATCTATTGCTACAATGAGACTATATAACAAATCTCCCCCAAAACTTAGTAGCTTCCAACAACAACAACAACAACAGTGTATCAGTTCTCCAAAGTCCATGGATCACCTGGATGGTTCTGCTAATTGGGCCTGGTTTGCTGATCTTGCCAGGGATGCTCATGTGTCTGTAGTCAGCTGGTAGGTTGGCTGGGGCTGGCTGGTCTCCCATAGCCTCCATGAGGATGACTTGGTTCTGTGCCATGTCATCTCTCATCCTTCAGAACACTAGCCAGGGCTGGTTCTCTTGGCGTGGCTGGAGTTCGAAAGTAAGCAAGACAAATTATGCAAGAAAACAAATAATATATGCAAAGTCTCTTGAAACTGAGGCTCTCAATTGTTGGGCCATCTTGTCCACTACATTCTTTGGGCTGAGGCAAGCCACCGAGCTGGCCCAGAATCACATTGAAATGGAACTATAAGTTTCAGAGCAGAAAGGATGAATACAGAGAGACCAGTGAAGCCTGTCTACCACTGTGGCCACTCCAATACCATGTTACTAGCAACACACTTTCTCAGGACTGGAGCACCTCATGGTATCGCGTAAGCAGGGGAAGAGTAGGAAAAATCAATTGATTGATCAGATTCTTTGAAAGCCTGTGTTCTGATATATCAATTTTTCATTTTTTAATTTTTTTTAAAGATTTTTAAAATTTTTTAAATAATCTCGACACCCAAACTGGAGCTTGAACTAACAACCCTAAGATCAAGAGTCACAGACTCCACCAACTGAGCCAGCCAGGCATCCCCCAGTGTATCAAATTTCTGGGATAGCTGAAAGATGGCATTGCTTCCATCCTTTGTGAAACCATGCTTGCGAAAAGTAATTTCTAATTTCAAGGGTGATCACTATAGAATACACTTTTTTCCCAAATTTAGGTCTTACCAGAGACACGAAGTCTTAAGAAATAAAATGCCTTCAACATACTCTATTTGGGTAGGCAAATAAAGGAGGAAAATTTCAAAAAACAAAAAGGCTATCATCAGGAAACAAAAACGCAAAGCACTGTGCTCCTCACTGTCATCCAGACAGTCCTCCTGTGGGCATAGGATGCTTTGTATTTGGCCACCTGAGTGATCTGGACAAAAAAATCTTCCACCTGGAAAGTAAATCAAAGACGTTTAACTTCTTTTGTAGCAAGCTCCATGGAAACTATTTTCATTCTAACCCTTTGGTTGCAAATACCAGAAACCAACTTGAGCTGTGTAAGGCATTAAAAACAACACAGCATTATAAAGATGCAGGGTGCCTCTTAGAACCCAGGGACAGAGATGCATCTGGGCTTCAGGAGGAGGCTGGAGAAGAGCCAGGAACCAAGATTAGTCTTTGCTCTCTTTCATCTCTGTCTACTTGTGAGTCTCTCTCTTCAGACTTGCATTTTCTGTTACCTAGCTCATGTGGTGAGGAAATATGGGATGGAAAATTGCTGTCCCGTTATTGCTATGTTTTATTTTTCTTAAATCAGACTGAACTAGAATGTCTCTGTCTTAAGTCCACATTCCTGACAGAGTGGATTTTATTGGTCCGACTTGAGTCAGAGGGCCACCTTGGTCCAATCATCTGTGACCAGGGTTAGAAACTATAAACATGGAGCCCTGGGGCACAAATTCTGTGGCTAAAAGGGGACTTAAGAGGTTGCAGGGAGTTACACAGGCAGGGAGTTACCCCCAAAATGCTTATGATAGAAATTCTTCCCAGGGGTGCCTGGCTGGCTCAGTCAGTGGAGCACGTAACTCTTGATCTCGGGGTGGTGAGTTCGAGCCCCACATTGGGCATAGAGATTACTTTCAAAAAAAGAAAAAGAAAAAAGGAATTCTCCCCAGCTTTCAATGAGTTTCAGTGAGAAAGAGGAAATAGGTTGATCTGGAGGTATCATAAAAAGGCATTCATTCAAACTCAATTCTGTGCAGTCCTTCAATTTTTATGTTCTCCTACTCATCACTCACTAATGGCTGTTAATGACCTAACACACTGAGAAAAGATTACTGAGTTCACTACTGTCTTAGGTCGGCAATCCCCAGCAGCAGACTCTGAGTCAAGGATTCCAGGGCGAATAGCTTATTTGGGTGGTGATCCCAGGCAGAGCCAATAGATGAGTGGGAAAATGAGACTGAGATCAGAAAGAACCAATGAATTGTGGCTTAAGCAAATGACCAATATAAGCCACGGACACTTAATCTTGCTGGGACCACTAAGAAACAGTGTAGGTCATACACCAAAGGCTTGAGAAGCATGGGTTGAAGGTCACTAGGTTTGGGACCTTTAATTCCCTGGTGTTGCTAGCCTGTTGCTCTCAGTAAGAACCAGCTCCGCTGGCCAAAGAAAGCTCACAGGCACCTAAGGTCAGGTTCCGGCCATGGAAAGTCAGGCTGCTCTGTACTGCAGTTGCCTGGGGTAACCAGAGAGAGGACTGGGTGTGATGAAGTAGGGAGGGGCCACCAGGCAGATAAGGCACAAGGTCTGACCTACTTCTAATAAAGGCAAACACTAGAAGGGGAGCAAGTGTTGGAAGCAGCGAGACTAATCGGAAATCTATTCAATTAGTCCAGGCTCAAGATGCTGGCATGTTGAACGAGCATTCGTGGAGAGGATGGAGAGAAGTGGTCAGCAGGTGGCAAGAGTTGTAAGAAAGCCTACCGCAATTACGAATGGGTTAGAAAGTGACGAGGATGGCTCTAAGATGCTTCCGTTCTGCTTGTGCTGGTTGTTAGGAAGGGGAAGATACCGTAGGTCAAGCAGCATCAGCAAACGCCAGGACATGGTGTCCCTTGGACTGGGTGCCCGGGGGCGCAGCTGCTGGAAAGTGAGGTGGGGGTCTGGTACTGAGGGGTGCACCCCACCCTGCCTTTGGCAATGAGTGGCCATTGGATGCTCCCGCAGGGCAGAGTGACAAGAGCAGATCTGTGTTTTATGAGGTCATTTTGGAAATCATGGAAAGGAGAGGATCAGAGGAAAGAGTAAAGGGATCAGGGTAGAGAGCGAACACAGTCCCAAAGGCAAGCTAGGATGAGGGCAGAAGCATTGACGGAGAAGTGAGAAGGAAAGATCTGAGAAGCATTTCAGGACTGCA